AAAAAAAAAAAAAAAAAAAAAAAAAAAAAAGAGCAATCCATGGCAAAAAAAAATGTGAACAATAAAAAAGCAAACCTCAAGAAATTAATGGTGGTCTTCAATGGCGGTGGACTGATTAACAATGGTCTCAACGGAATAGACTTTTGACGATTCGATTGAGAGAGAAGGGAGTGAGTTTAGGGTTAGTGAGTGTTTGAATGATAGATTGAATTGTATTTTTTGTTTTTTGTCTGGTTTCACTTTTTCTTTTTTTTTTTTTATTTAAAAGTTTAATCATTTTGGATGTGACAATTTTTTACGCTTTTGTACAATTTTTCACATAGTCAATTCTTATTTAATGAAAGACATGTATGGTATTTAAATTATCTAGAGGGGGCAAAAATATCCAAAAATGACAATATTCCAAAGACTTTAAAAAGTGACATTTTTGAAAATGCAAAGCTAAAAATTGACATGCAGTGCAATTTTCTCTTATTTATTATTTTAATTTGCAAATGTGATAAAAAAAATGTTACTTATTATGAGAATTCTTTTTTACTTTTGAAATAAGTAACATAAGTTCAAAATTGGTCCATAAAATTTATATATTTATTTTAAAGTAATTTTCTTGAAATTTGACAAACATGCATTAATTTAAAAAAAAATAGTTGAGCTACATTACATGTGGAAATTTTGTTGGTAAATGGTACGTATATTAGACAACAATATTAGACACGGAATATTTGTTGGTGAAGAGCTGCTACTTTTATCAATGGTAATTCGTTTCCGATTAATCCAATGGTATTCTTAGGTGAAAAGCTGATTTTTAGTGATGTTATTTTGTTAGATGATGAAAAATGATGGATTAGTTTTTATTGTAAAAGAATTGGATTTTCAAGAAGTTAATTGACAGGTACGAAGAGTGTAGTGATTATTCGATAAATTTTGTTGCATGAACATGATATTCTTTTATTTGAAATTGAAGTTATTTTCTTGCATTCTGTCCCAATGAGATCATTTAATTTTTAACTATTATTTGGTGAAAT